TTATTAACCCTTTCAAAGAACCATCTTATTTATTTTCTATTGTGAGAATTTAAAGTTATAAATTTCCCTCTAAACATTGCTTTAGCTGCTTCCCACAATTTTTAATTTTTAATATTGTGATTTCATTGTCATTCAACTAAAATATTTTCTATTTTCCCTTATAATTTCATCTTTAACTTATGGGTTATTTTATAAATATTCAGGGATTTTTTTTGATATCTTATTACAGACTGAATGTTTGTGTTCCCAACCCCCAATATTTGTATGATATAATTCTAACCCCTAATGTGACTATTTGGAGTTAGGACATTTATGGAAGGAATTAGGGTTAAGTGAAGCTTTAAAGGTGGGGCCTGATCCTGTAGAATTAGTGTCTTTATACAATCTAATCTTCTAGATTTTAGAGAATATAAGTGAAATGAAAGGTTTTCCTTCTCAGGCCTGAAAGTAAGCAGTAGGGACCCTGACTAAGGTAACATAGCTCCAGAATGACCATCTCTACCTCTGGAATATGTTACCCTTGGGATTGTCCTACAACCCTTCTACCAACATTGCTTTATTCAGAGCCAGCCCAAAGACAAGTTGACTCTCAAGATAGTCAGCAGTGTTTAGCAGACTTTTTTTCTAAAGCAACTATTCATATTTTCTAGAAAGACACAGTATAATAAAACAGTTTAAGACTCACACATTAGAACCAAACATGCTAATTTAATATTTTGGCTGTGTCACCTTTTGTAAAGTTACCTAATCTCTTTATGCCTCATCTTTTAAATTCATCTGTAAAATGTGAGTAATAGTTACTTGGGTGTCCATTGAGTAGATTAAATGAGATAATGTATATAAAGTGCATAGCTACTACCTGGTACATATATTAAGTACTCACTAGTGTTAGTTGTTGGTGCTGGGATTGCTGCTCTTATTCATAAATAGGCTCAAGGGCCAGACCTGGAAATGGTAAATTCACAAGAAGGCATTTCTTGTTTAACTTTCCAAGGCTTTTATACTAGGCACACTTTCTTTCTTTCCCAGTCCTATGATGGTGTCATTTTTATGCCATCTTTACTTTTTTTTGCATCTAGACTTCTCTTCTAAATTAGAGACCAAGCAACCCATTTTAATCTTGCCACATTTAAAAAATTTGTCACATTATAACCAGAGTTCACTAAACATACTTCTTCATTCACCCACTTTATAAAAATATCTGTTGAGTCCTATTTTTTTTCCTTCTGCCTCTCCCCTCAACAACTTTTCCATCATAGATACCAAGAACTGAATTACATCCTATAGCTTCATAACACATTGTTATCATCAGTACATGCAAGATCCCTGTCTGTTTTATTTTTACCCTTCATCCTAAACCTCATCCTTTATCCTTCCTCCGTAAGTACCCACTCCAGTGTGTCTTCACATGTACTTAAATATGCATACATTTTAAAAATAGGTAACATTATTTTGTGTACATGAGTTTTTATTATATAAGAAGATATTGTGCTATTAATACCAACTTTAAAACTGTTACTTTATATATGATTACTGAGTGCTTATAACTTTTAACTATATTTTACTTACCTATTTTCTAGAGGATGGACACCCCAATTATTGCCAGTTCCACAAAATATGCTTCAAATAACATACTTTTACTCTACCCTTTATTGATTGGATGATCACATTGGTCCAAACTAAGATGCTTTTAACATTGAGGGGGACTGTTTTAATTACACAGGGACAGGAGGTGTATGTCAAGACTCTCAGACAAACCAGAATATGTGGTCCACCCTATTACAGAAAATTTTACAGACATAGCTGATAATCAGCAGATGTATACTGGGATAGCTCTTCCCCTTCTGGTTATTGCAATTGGTTGGTGCATGTGCTGGACTGATTGTTGCATGTTTTAAATACCATTCTTGTTAGAAACTATTCATGAGAGGGAATTAAGACATACTTAATTTCAGTAAGTTTGAGTTCCAGTCCAGTCTTTTCTCATTAATAGATGGATGGACTTTTTAATCTGTCTTCCTGTATTTCAGGACTTTTCACATTTGTATTGTATATTTATTCATCATTTCTCCATCAAACTATTTAGTTTGGAGGTGTAGCAGACGCTGCTAGTTGATTGATAGCTTCTCTTAGTGCAACTATTCAATATAGCAATCACAAGTAATTTATAAAGGATTTTTTCAGATTTTATGTTATTGACCCATAACAATTACCTTTTGAGGTAGAGAGGGCAGAATTTGTAAGTCTTATGTTACAGAAAAGGAAGCTAAGGATTGGAGGTACACTGACTTTCTTTAGTCCACATATCTGATAAGTTAGGGAGTTAAGTTTGTGTCCAGGTCTTCAGACTTTAATTTGTTTCTGTAAAATCTAAAAAGAACAGGAAAAAGGATAAATTTCTGTTTTGGGCTAAAGCAGGGACTGTCCAGTTTAGCTTTATGTCTTCTGCAGAATATAACACAGTGCCTGACACATAGTAAGATCAATAATTTTTAATGAACAAAACAACTGAGGATTATGTAGGTATCCATAGGACCCAGGTTTGAGTTGGTAATACTGCTGCTCAGTGTTTGGTGACTCTTGTTTATTGCAGCAATGCTTTGAATTATAGGTATGGTCAGCTCTGTAAATGTTCTGGCTGAAGAAAGGGACTTCATGTCAGTCCAAGTGTTCTTGTAAGTGGTGGGGTTCATTTGTAACTGAAGTAGCAATAGGTTATAGACATGCCTTTATAATGGGATTTCTTGTGGGGGAGTAGACTGCATTTGTTGGATTATAGATCTTCAGTAAGATTTCTTCCACCTTCCTTTTTTGGACAGTGTTCTGTAGCTTTAAGTAACCAATAGCAAAGTCCCTTCTCTTTCTAACTGCTATATTGTATCAGCTGCTTAATACATGCTTCCTGTTCCTAAGGTCCCCAGAGGCAGCTGTAGTGTTTGGCAAGGATGTTGGATTTCATTGAAAGATTCTCTCCAAATAGTTTCTTCTCTTGTTGAAAGAGGCTCGTTGGTCTCAGCCATCTTTCTCAAACCCGTCACAGTTTTGAAGTCATTTTGGAACCTTCCATAATCAGGCTCTGTTTTCCTTTCCATCTTACCTCAAATAACTACTTACCATCCCCTGTCCAATACCTCCCATCCACCATGACACAAATTGAGAGTGTTCGAGAGGAACAATTTAATAACTTTAAGTTTTCATACTCTACCTCTCATGGAAGTTGAAGTAGTCATCTTCCAGAAGTAACTTTCTGACATGTATCCTTATTCCTTCTTTTCATGCTCTAGCTGTAGATACTCTGTACACAAGGTATGCTGTTTAAATTAGATGCTTCCTGCAGCTTCTCTCTTTGGGCAGAAGTTTCCTTGAATCACAGATTGATTTGCTAGTGCTTATTTTAATACTCTGAGCTTCACATGTAAATTTGTATCCCACTAACTGGGGGAACTGTTTAAAAAATCCACATATGTCTCTTTAAATATCTCTTTTCTACTGAAATCAGTAGTAGGCTAGTGATTTTGGCTATTCCTTCCAAGTGTGCCATCAGATTTTTGTTTTTTAATTGTTTCCAAACTATCTCCATTTGTATCCCACTAACTGGGGGAACTGTTTAAAAAATCCACATATGTCTCTTTAAATATCTCTTTTCTACTGAAATCAGTAGTAGGCTAGTGATTTTGGCTATTCCTTCCAAGTGTGCCATCAGATTTTTGTTTTTTAATTGTTTCCAAACTATCTCCTTTCTTTGTATTGTCACTCTGAAATGTACAGTATGTGACGATAAGAAAACCCTGGAGAAGTTCTTTTTTTTTTCTCTTTAATGTACAGGTAAAATCCCTTTATAACAATGGTTTTTGTAAAGTGAAATCCTTCCCCAGCTTAGTGGTTGGTCCATGGAAATAGTACTTTGGTAGTCAGTTTTCTGTCTTTTTAAAATTTAATTCTCTAACTGTTGAAATCACTATGTTGTGTATATACTTGAAACCAATATAATATTGTATGTCAACTACAATAAAAAAATTTTAAAAATACATTTTAATTTAATTCTATTGTGGCAAGAATGCTTAAATGACATCTACTCTCTTAATAGACTTTTAAGTGTACAGTAACACTTTATTATCCATACGCACAATGTTGTACATTAGATCTCTACTCTTGCATAACCGAAATTTTATAGCCATTTAAAATAGTCACTCATATAAGGGAAGAATAGAATGGTGGTTGCCAGGGGTTAGTGGGCGAGGGTAAGGGGGGATTGCTAATCAGTGGGGAGTCAGTTTTCAACAGTGACTTGAATGTATGTGGTTGTTTGCACTTGAGGTACAAAAGGAAATAAGAGTAAGTTCGGAGATTTAATCATTATAACCATCAGTTACCTTGCTAGTTACCAGATTTCATGTCAACACCAATACTACAGCTCCCTCAACTCAAAATTGAAACTCCCAAAACTTTCTTCCAAAACACCACCCTACACCAACTCTCCTGAAGGTTGGGAGAAGTATGGAGGGGAACTTTTAGTTAGGAATCTCTCTCCCACTAAATTAGGAACAGTTCATTTACTAATTAACTAAAAGCATAATTTCTTCTCATGAATACAGCTAACTCTGTTATATTTTAATTGGTAAGTCAAGAATTGGGTCCTCTGAATGCCTCCAGCAGAATCAAAATCAAATGTGAACAGAAGTACATCTTACAAAAATCACCATTATTCTTTCACTGAGTTCAGTATACATATTTATTTTTATATTCCACAAACTATGTTGATCCCTGTTTTTGTATTTTTAGTCCTGCCTTGTCTGAGTCGGCAACTCTGGGTATGCTTGACCTGTTCGGCTAGTACTGTTCACTGACCTTGCCCATAACTCTTCCAGCTGCATCACATTCTGATTCACCAGCCTTGCCTCCCTATTTACTAGGCCCATCCTCTCTCTCCCATTCTGTTCTAATCCCTTTCTTTCTTCTTCACCCCTATCTCCTTCACAACAACTCCATGATTTTCTCAGGGCTGGGCTTCAACATCGTCGGTGGGACAGATCAGCAGTATGTCTCCAATGACAGTGGCATCTACGTCAGCAGCATCAAAGAGAATGGGGCTGCGGCCCTGGATGGGCGGCTCCAGGAGGGTGATAAGATCCTCTCGGTGAGAACTGGCTTCGGCCTCCTTCACTGTCCCTTGCTCCCTAGGCCCTAGTTCCTACCCTTTACCCCTTCCTTGGGAAGATTCCTGCCTGCCTTTTTTGGATCTGGAAATATCCAGATTGTAGAATTCAATGGGAGAGACCTTGATCAGCCATCTTTCCCATAGAACATGGGGATATTACCTCACTTGACAGATAAGGCATATTAAATCCAGAATATGAAGTTACTTACCCAAGTTCAAAAAAACATGAAATAGGGAGGCATGAGGGACTAAGATGGTGGAAATTTTTTTTGTTCTTCCATTATACTTTATCATTTCCCTTTTGCTGATTACAACAGTAATGTGTGTCTTCCTTTACTCCAAAAGAAACAAAAAAGGGAGGTAAGAATTAAGTAACCTTTTCAGACTCAGAGCCGGTTTTCACCCATTATTAAGATGTAAAATTGGGATGCAGTCTGATTTGGATATCTGGCCGCTGTTGCTCCCATTTCACTCTGCTAGTGTTTCTAATAAAGTAGTCATTACATGGTAACTATTAAGTTTATTCTATTTTAATTTTATTTTCTGAAAGTTCCTCAAGGGCAGGGACCAGATCTTTTTATTAACCTTTTACATCTTAGCACAGTGCCCAATATATATTTAACACATGAACAAATTAGGAAATTCAGGCAAACCTAGAAAGATCAAGAATATAAATATAATATCATGGATGACTATATCTCATTTTAGTACTTCCTCCTATTGTCCCTCTCTTCGGTCTATTAAGCTTCTCCTGGGTCCTGTTTTTTAATCTGTCAGATAGAGACAGTGATGATCAACCCTTTATTTCAAAAAGATGCTGAGAAGATCAGAAGCAGATTATTTCCTGTAGCCCTTAGGACAAAGACATTCTAAAACCATGAAATCAACCTGAGTGGTACATTAAGGAAAACTGAGACTGGGTTGTTAACATGAAGGTATACCATGTAGTTAGAAACTGTGTAATTTAATATTTGGTGCATACTGCATTCTCTCCGGAATACGGGGGCCTGGGCACCATGTGTGAAGAGAGATTTGAAAAGTATAGGGGTTAAAAAGAGAGCTATATTATTCAAAAAGCTTTGATTAAAGTTAGAGTATTAGAAAATGAGAATGGTTAGAAGTTTTTGAGCACTATATGCCAAGAAATATACTGAGAACTTTAAACCATTTAATAATGTAGTAATCCTATGAGGTGGGTACAATTAATATGCCTGTTTTGCAGTTGAGGAAGCTGAGGCTTGTTGAGGTCAAGCAGCTTGCCCAAGGTCACAAACTGTTAAGTGGCTGGCAGAGGACCAAAACTTTGGTCTCTCTGAATTTGGATCCTCTACTTTTAACCAGTATATTATATACTGCCTACTAAAAGGTAAATGAGGAGCTAAGATTGGTTATCCTAATCAGAAAGTTGCATGGTGAATTAATAAATTCTATGTATGGTTTTATATCAAAACTGAAATTAGCCTTTCTATAAAGGGGTAGAATTAGGGAGAAAAGGACATAAACCTCAATGTGAGAGAAATTTATTAGACATGTGGGCCATTGCCTTACAGACAGAAGAATTATTGGAAGTCCATTCAAATTTTTTAACAGAGTATGGTAGAAGATAAATGTCAATGAAGAGAAAAGTAGGTATGTAGAATTCTCAGCTCACTTGGCTTTAAAATTTATAGCAAAGAGGATTTTACTTCATCAAAATACAAGAAATATTACAAAGATCTATATAAAATATATGTAAGACATATTACAAAGAATGATTCAAGTTTATGTTCTGGCAATTAAAGAAAAGACGTGGAAGAAGAGAGGGGGACATGTCAGGCAAAGAAATGGCAAAAAATATCAGATGTGGAGAGAAATGAAGACAGAGGAAGAGGAAAAAAATGGAGCATATACAAGAGGAAAAGGCCGGCATAACCTCTCCATTCTTTCTGGAGCTACATCTTTGACTCCAGTTTCCCTTTCAAGAGTTTGCTCCAGAATTTATTTCTAGATGCCATTCCCTCAGAAGTACCGCCGTAGCTGCCTCACTCACCGTCCTGTTCCCTCCCTATCCTTAAGTAAACTTGTTAGGCATTAACATTAAACAGTCACATCTATTCTTTAGCTCAGTTTATCCCTTTGATGTACTTAAGTACTCATTTATTAGTTGGATTTGGAGTCTCTGTAAAATGGTGCTAAATTATTTATTAGCCTATGTTCCCATATGTTCTTTTTGGGCTTTCCTGTTCTCCTCACATGAGTGATTTTTCCATGTTGTAAAATATGCCCAACTCTTGTTTTTGAACTTTTGCTATATAAACAAATTAAGAAATCTGGCCCTTCCTTAGCACATACCCATTTTGGTTAACAAATAGAAGTATCATTGAGTGATCTAGATTTCCTGTGAGTTATTATTGACTATTAATTTAATCTTCCATTTCTCCCTAAATAATGCACATATTCTGTTTTAATTTCAAGTTCTAAAATTAAATATCATGCAGTTACCCCCTTCTCATTAAAAGTGAAATTTAATTTTTTTGTGGTCACTGTGGAAGGTTTAAAAATTTAGAAGAGAAAAAAATTTTCTGTAGTGATTGTAAATGATTTTAAGGCCTTATTGCATCTGACAGCCATGAAACAAAAATATATTACCAAGATAAAAATAATAATAGAAGAACAGACCTGAAGTTGAGGTGAGAACTGGCGATTTCTTACCCAGAGTTCATATTGTGTGTGTGATGGTAAGGGTGATTTAATATTTGTATAGGTTACCAGGGAACCTGGGGATATTTTACTTTTGTGGAAATAAAAAGCAAACTAGGTTTCTCATTTCCACTGTGTGTCTGCCTAAATGAAGGGAGGTGGGTAGTCAAGAATAGCCAATCCTCAGTGAACTCTCCATTTTTGTGAAGCTCAGGGTGATGTAGCTAATTATTATACTGCATAGCTGAATGTTCCATTTTGATCAAACCCCTTATATAGCCAGATGGCACAGATTGGACCATAGCTGCATTTTATAGTCTCTTAAATACAATTCTTGATTTGGTGAATGGAAGAGTTGAGTAGTCATCAATATTTATTAACTATTGTATTTCATGTGCTTGCAGAGCACTGTGCTAGGTACTATGGAAAATTAAGAGAAAATGGAAGATTTGTCTCTGTCCTTAGTTTAGAAATCAATGAGAAAGATCCACCAGAAACCCTCATCCAATCTCATCCAATCAGCTGCAGAGACATCAAAATATATACAGAATCCTTTAGATGAAGTACCTCTAAGGGAAGAGTCTTTGTTTTCTCATCTCATCATTTTTGTATCCCCAGCACATAGGCCTAATAGCTGTCGCAGAGTAAGCATCTAGGAAGTCAGTTGCTCTGTGAGAGAATTAGGGCATAACTGACTTGTTGGTTGGGCCTGATTAATTGGAACTAGATAACAGTGGGGAAAATAGAAGTTCTTGTGGCCAGGATCTTTGCCCGACCCTAAACTACTTGATGATGTAATTGGCTTCCTGCTAGACTAGTGCTTCCAAACCTGTTGGCAATGAGCTATTATTGACTGAGTCACTGTATAAAGAGCTCTGCCCACAGATGGAGGTGGTCTAAGGACCTCTAGACTGCTGGATGCAGATGTGTTTCTAGTGCTCAATCTATCGCCATGACAAAAAAGCTGGGTATAAAGCCTTTTATCTCAAGAATGTTCTTTTATCATTTCTGGTCTCACTGAATCCATAGAGAACTTGCTCAGGACTGCAACCCTCAGGCAAGACAATAACCGATTTTGTTTTTCTTCCTTCAACTTTGATGAAAAAAAAGAGGACCAATCCTCCCACCCCAAAAATCACTTCAGAATCTTGATTAATTACAAAATTCAAATATCCGGAGTATAATGAGGTCAATGCTTATATAATTGAGCCTGTTTTTTCTCTACATCTGATACATCTACATTTATATTATTCTGCAGTTAGAGCTCCTGTAATTCTAACTTTGTCCTAAGATGTTAGAGTATCCTGAGGTAATTCAAATTTATTAATCATCAAAGAAAACTAATTTTAATTCAGTTTACTCATTTTCTAAGGCAGGAAATAGGAAACTCATTTGTCAAGACAGGTAACAACCATAGTTAAAGCAAAAAATTATATGTTTTTCCCTTTAGTTAACTAGAACACCACCATCCCAGTTCTCTGAACAGACAGCAAAATTTTCTAGCATGCTGCACATTTGCCATAGTTTAGGTTCAGTAAAACTTACTATGCCATGAGTTAAGGAAGCTGAAATAGCAAATTTAGCAGTGTTTCTCAGGTGAGTAGCTCTTGGTACTAAAAAGTCCAAAGACTATCTGGCTACCACCTGGGAGGAGCTTGTTAGAAATGCAGTCTCAGGAACCTTCCCAGACCTACTGAAATCAAAATTTGCATTGTAACAAGATCCCTAGGTGAGACTGTGAGTAAAATATGAGAAGAATTGCTATAGGCAAGTGTTCTTTAAGCCTTTTAAATTATGACCTGTAGAAGAAAGTATTCATGCATATACACACATATAATTGAAGCAAAGTTTAACAAAATTATATTTCTCTCTTCTGGATGTGCTGCATCTGAATGTTGTGTTTTCTTCTAATTTTAAAAATTAAATACTGGCCTTGACCCACCTGATTGATGTCACTATCTTGTGTAATGTATCAACAGACCCATATTTGAAAAATCACTACTCCAGGAAGTGGGAAATCACCAGTGAAATCTGTGTATCCATAAAATATGTATTAAATAAGGTAAGTAGGCTGTGTATAGAGTTAGAAATGGTTAAAAGACTAGATAGTTAGAAGACTATTTCAGGTGGTTAGGTTAGCACTAACTCAAACTTCAGAATCACCTGGAGGTCTTGTTAAAGCACAGATTACTAGCCTACTCTTTTCTCCTTTTGACAAGTTCCCAGGTTAATGCTAATGCTGTTGGTCCTGGGATCACACTTTGAGAGCCTCTGGTCTATATTAGGAAGGCTGGTGATAAAGAGCGTGGATTCTACATATATTTTGTGGTAAAATCTATAGAATTTTGGTGGTTAGTCAACATGAGGTAGAATTTGTGAAAAGGCTTGGAGTAAAAATATTGGAAAGCAAATTTGACTTTGGAGCAGAGATGACATTGTCAATAGAAGAAGACTCACTGTTTTATGGGGCTGGTTTACCTTGGGCAAGGGATGAAAAATGTTTTTTTTCAAAAAAGAAATTCCCTGTGCATTTCTATAATGCCTCTTGTTTGGAGGTTTATTTTTAAAAGGCAGTTAGAGTAACTGTCCTCATTTATTAGATACCTTTAGGCACAGGGGAGGTTGAGAGGCCTAATTGTCCTTTGTCCTGTATAGCACCTTCTTTTGTCTGATGTCTCCAATGTCTTTCTTCCCTGTTAGCTGAAGGAGGCTCAAGTGAGGACGGAGATTACACACTGAGTCTTTGGCAGGTAAAGCTGCTGTTAGAGTCAAGGCCTTCCAGGCCATCAGCTTTGTGTGATATTGAGACTCTTTTAGTCAGGCTTTGTGTGGTTATGGTTTTTCAGGGTGTACTCTGCAACCAAACCTCAGGAAATCATGTGACGTTTATTATACTAAAGCACTGTTGTTCAAAGCACTATTCTGGTATTACAGGGGTTATAATGATGAGTCGAGATACAACCTTTCCAAGTTATTTACAGTAGAATGTGAGGTGATATAAGGCAGAGTTCAGTTTGAGCTTTAAGATAGTTACATAGTATGGAGATTCAAAGCAGTCAGTTACATCTAGTGGAGTTATCTAGAAAGGCCTTGTCAATAAAGTTGCACTAAACTAAATTACTTTTTAGGTTTAAATGCTACTTCAGTATGTACAGATGTGTAAAATATTAATATATAAGCACCTTAGGTTTTTACATAACTCTAAAATGTTTTAAATATATAACATAATTAGATACAAATAAAACTGCAAAACCAATAAAAATTTAATTTACATTAATGTGACTGATAGATAATGATATGTTGCTGAAATAAAATCCTTGCTTACAATGTCAGTATCTATAGTTTAGTGTTTAAAAATGAAGGGGTTGGGCTGCTTGAGTTTGAATCCTGGCTTTGCTACTTTCATTTTCTATGCCCATGGACAGGCTATATAGCAATTTGTCTCTAGTTTTATCACCTATAGTATGGGGATTCCTAGCTTATAGGACTGTTGTGAAGTCTAAGTTATTACATGTAAATAAAATGAATAGATAGCTCCAGACATGATAATAAAAATGCAGTTAGTTATTCCTGGCAATTATTACTGACAACTATGGCAAAGATTATTTTGAAGTCAGTGTTCCTGCCATTGAGTGTGTCATGTTGTGACTCAGTTCTCCCACTTGAATTTATATTACTATGAAATTTGTCTCTGATACTGAGCTGTGACATCTTGGCATTCGTTGACATGACTGCATCATAAACTTTTTGTCTCCGAGAGAAAATATCTATTTCCTTACAATGAGAAATACAGTTACCACAGGGGCTAGCTTAGTTAAGAGCATTTTCACTATAATCAGCAATTTCACACCTATCCCCATCCCCAATCAACTGGAAAATTGAGTCATTAGGAACTCATTGTGGTAATTCTAGAAACTCTGAAGTTCTTTCCCTTTGGCATACCTACTCAAAAATCCAAGACATAATCAGAAGCTGGCTTGGTAGCATGAAATCCTTGTCCATCAACTGGAAAACCTGTATTCATTTCTATACTATAGATAGTAGGACTGATTCAATTTAAGATAAATCTTGGGAGAGAAATAGAAGTTTTTCAAAGGGAAGAGTATTCAGATGGTAGATGTAGCTTGAGCACAGGCTGAAGGCAGGAACATATGTTTTATGTCCCAGAGTCAGTGAGTTACATGAGTTAACTAGAGGGTAGGATATAAAGGGAGTAACAAGAGATTAAACTAGAAAGGTAGGCTGGAGTTGTTTCTTGGAAGACTTTGCATACCAGAATGAGAAATCAGGCATCCCCTCTTTCCTCTCCTGCTCCCAACTTTGTTTTTGTTTTTTGAGTAGTAAAGTGGTATAAAAAGAATTGTACTTTGGAAGGTTGATCTGGAGATACAGTATTTGACTGCTTAGAATGGGGGAGGACCTAGAGAAAAGTGAATCTGAGAAGTTGATTACAGTAGTTCAACAAAAACAATCCGCAGCCTAAAGAAAGAGGCAATAGAAAGAAAAAAGCATGAGTAATGTTTGTTAGACTATAGAATTTGGCAATATACTGTATGTGAAGATTGACAGTGGAGTTTAAAAGTATTATCAAAATTATAGTCCAAAGGAATTAGTAGTGGCAATAAGAGGGAAATCAGAATAGTTTGGTTTTGTGGCAAGCCTCTAATAAAGAGGCTTTGGATATGTTGAATTGGTATCTAGCAGAATATCTAAGTACAGGTACCCAGCAGGAAATTGGCAAATCCAGAAGTAGGAGTAGAGATAAAAGAAGTAGAGTTTCTTATAGATTACAGTTGGAATTGTGAAAGGTCACCATGAGAGAGAAAATAAGAGGACATATATATTAACTTACCTTAAAAAGGAAGGAAGGAAGGGAAGAGGAGTCCGAAATGGAAGAGTTCAAGAAACTTTAGAGAGCTGAGTGAGTGTTCATAAGCTAAGACAGGAGAGAACTGCAAAAGGGAGGAGATGGTCAGAAGACCGAAAAAGGGCTGCAGGACCTGGTGATTGGAGGTCCTGTTGACCTGCAGGACAGCATGTTCTTCCCCATCCCACCTCATATATTATGAGATTACAAGGGAATAAAGGGGGGATGGGTGCTGAGGAAGTGGAGGCAGTGCACACCAACAGATCTTTCAACAAATTTTTCAGTAATTGAGAAGGAGGATTCCAAGAAATATTATTTTTCTTTCTTTATAGATGAAGATAATTTTAGTTGGAAAGGAGCAGTGATATTGATTAAGAATCAAGAAGAGAAAGTGACTGCTTAAATTCTGTAAGGAGGTTAGAAGAAATGTGACCACGAGCACCAATGGATGCTTTAGCTTTGATAAAGGAAATAAATCTAGTTCAAAAACAAAGGGAAAGCAGCAGTGAAATGATATCAAGACTTGGAAGGGGAAAGAAATAAAATGTAATGTTTGTGAGAAGTTCTCAGTATTCTTAAAGGCAAGGCAAAGTTATTGGCTGGGAAGAGAGATGGGATTGGAGTTGAGGTTTGATGGTAGAAAAGGTCTAGAACAGCTCTGGCTGGATGTTTATCACGGTGTCACTAGATGAGTAAAAAGGCTATATGGATATAGCAGGAGCCAGCTAGCATAAATCTATGGTGGAGATTCCATATGTATGCAGTAAGTAGTAAGAGAGGTAGACAGTCTTTGGGGGAGACAATCTATGGGTATTTTTCTCCAGGAATAATACAACTAATGATAAGGCAAGTAAATGCATTGTGTTGCCCAGGGCTAGAAAGATGGCAAATCACTGGGGCAAGAGATTCTAATAGTTTACCAAGTGCTTTGTTGAAATAACAGGAACTCCTAGTTGGGTAAGGATGCAAGTCAAGTCTGAAAGGTTAAAGCTTTGATGAGGATAAAGAGGGCATTCAATAGAGGAATAAGAAATGTGAAGGGAGTAGAGATTATGGTCAGTTTTTTAAAGGTTTGAGATATTGGAGCTGAAGCATGCTGATGTGGAAGTCCAAGGCTTATGCCAGTTGGTGACTAAAACGGAATAAAGCTGGAAACCATTCATTTGGGAAGGTAGTCTATTCAGCCTACATGTTAGTAGATTAATTCACCTAGGATATTGGCAGGAGATAGAGTAGAGAGAAGATTATGAACCCCACAGAGAAGGAAGACTGTGGTAAGGAAGATGAGGGTATTGAATAAGTCAGTGGCTTGAACTTAAGCTGAGCAGAGAATACTTGGTGAGTCAAGGTGGAGGAATAATAGTGCAGAGGGAGCAGCAAAATGCAAGAGTACTTTCATCTTCCTTCCAGTATTTAACAACCCTAGCCCTAGTTCCTACCCTTACTATGACTTGGGTAAATTACCTACCTTGCTAAGCTTCAGTTTCTTCATTTGTGAAAACAAGATAAAAATAATGTCTACCTCATAGGATTATATGAATGTAAAGCATATAGCACAGAACCAGCTAAATAAATATATTAGATGTTCTTGCTGCTGTTATTGACATTGACATGAATAAAAGATATGTAGATCTTGCTTAAAGTGAGCTATGCCGTGTCACTAAGTGCAGCATAGGATAGATATCACCTGTGGTCAGGGTCACTCCTAACACTAAAAAATCTTAACACCAGTAGCTCTTCACATCTCTCACCTCTACATGGTAGGACTGACCTACACTGAAGCATTTTTGAGGAGTTTGTGTCATCACAGAAATAAGGTTTTTGGTAAAAAGGAGTACCCATGGAATTAAGCACAATTTTTCACAGTAGACAGGAGCAGAAAATGGGCCAGAAGGTTTGCACCACATCAAAATAAATTGTGGGAGTTCCATAGAGTTCTATTTCTAAAGTTGAAGCTGGCAATGCATGGGATTTGTATTAGAAAGAATAGGGTGATAGCCTGGAAGATATTCTTTTTATATGGCCCATGGAACCTCTCAGTTCTAGGAAAGCATAGCTTTGAAAACAAAAAAAGTTACCCTGAGTTCTAAGTAACTTTACCCATTCTCCTAGCCCTTGGAATTTGCTCTGTAGGAGTTTGTTTTTTCAAAGATGAAAGTAAATCTCTGACTTAATGAGAGTTTGCCTTCTACCTCTCTTACCACTTTCCTCGCCATTTCTGACAGGTAAATGGCAAGGACCTAAAGAACCTGCCACACCAGGACGCTGTAGGCCTCTTCCGTGATGCAGGCTATGCTGTGTCCCTGCGAGTGCAGCACAGGGTAGGTGTCATGTGCAGCCAGCAGCCTGGCCCAGGCTTTATACCATACTTGTGAATAAACCCTGGGGTGTGATCTGTAGTTGGCTTTTTCTTCTTTCAGTCTCACTCTTGAAGAGCTTGTCTGCTACAGGCAGGCATCTTTTGGGACTTCTGCTTATCATTAAAGGAAATTCTTAACAGTATGCTTGGAACCCAGAACCTAGCTTTAAGGTACTGTGCCTTAAAGATAAAACTTGGCAACCAAATTAAAGTAGATGGGGAAAACAATACAGTCAAATAAATTTTATTTTTTGGCAGGGAAGGAACATAAGCCTGCCCTTGACCATTCTCATTTATGAAATTCTAAGTACAAAGAGATGGTGGGTTTTCTAATACCCACTATGTGCTTTTCCTTCTCACTACCATGAACCCTTTTCCTATCAACTTGGTGACACTTTTGACCAAATCTCAGTGCTCGAAGGGGAGCTCCAGGAAAAAGGAGATGGAATTCAGAATTCAAACAAGGCAGCACATATCTGCACCTCTACTTTTTAGTTCCTAGAATTTTATAGTTTGCGTGATGGGAAGAGAAGCCTGGGTAGACATAGTCCTCCTGTAGCACCAAGGCTTCAGAGGCTGCAGAAGAGCTCAGTAGGAGATACTAAGAAAGTAGAGGGGGCTGGGCATGAAAAGGAGAAACTGAGAAAAGAGCCAGGAGTGCAAGTGGAATCTGGGTGTGATGGGTTAGGAAACAAGTCGATAAGAGATAATACTGGTAATCAGCTGCCTCTGCCTTGTGTCTTCTCTGTTTCTAAAGCATGGGAGAATTTATGTAATAGATAAAGATAAGTAAATATAGGTATACACTTCACTTTTTAGGAAATATCCATTAGTAATTCCTAAAACAGATCCTTTATGTCAGGGAATTGGCCGAGCCCTAAAATCAGTGTCTTTCTGCTGAGCATGCCCTTTCAGGGTAACTCAAGGAAATGAATGGAAGATGTAGAGGTGGGATAGAGGATAAAAAGGTAGTTTGTGTGATGTTGCCTTTCAGATTGGGTCAGTTTCATGGATTTAATGGGGAGGTTAAATCTAACCAAAACAAGATGGTACCATAATTGTTGCAAGTTAGCTATTAGAAGTTAATATTAAGAAATGTCACCTTTTTAAAAATGACTGAAATGACGAAACACCACCAGCCACGGAAGGGAATGCTTAGGCAATGGAAAATTATAACCACTGGGTTTTGACTTCTTTTTACTTATTTACTTCTGAGTCTTTTACCTCCATTCCAAGTAGGTTTCACCTTTACCTGTGTCCAGTATTACAGAATAGGGGATGAAGGACATGACCCCATCTTAGGAGGGAGTGGGTGCCTTTGAGGAGTTGGAAAGTACTTCCAAATAATGATATTGCAGCTGTGTTAACATTGCTTAGATTTGCTCTTACTGCACTCTGATGACTGCTAATCTTTCTAAATCAGCATTTCTAAAAAGATGCATACCCCGCTCTTTCCCTCACCCCAGTAATTTCCAGGTTCCCTTTCGGATCAATAGGCTTCATCTCATATCTTCATTTTCCTGATATGATACACATGTAACTAGTGGAGGCAGTACAGAAATACAAAGAGGTTGTCTGATTTATCCTTAGGAGTCCCTTTAGGTCACTTGCACAGCAAGGTTTTAAATGCCTCTCCAACAGATTATTTTGTTTTCAAAGAGTCAGTGATACTGATGTGTTAACCCAGGACAAATAGAGAGGACACCTTCTGCCTGATAGTGCGTGGGGTTTACAGCTTTGGGTGGTTATAAACTGTAGCCCCAGGTAATGTATCAACCTGGGTATTTCAGCTGTGCTAAACAGAGGTTGGTCACTAGAGTTAATGTTTTTTTCCCCTTCTAGTTACAGGTGCAGAATGGGCCTACAGGACATCGAGGTGAAGGGGAGGCGAGTGGTACTCCCATAGCTATGGTGCTGGTGCCAGCGCTTGCCCTCGCCGTGGTGGCAGCCTGGGCCTTCATGAGATACCGGCAACAGCTTTGAGAAGCTTGCTTTTTTTCAGTGCTCCCGATGAAGATACATTTCTCTCTTTCTCTCACCCTGCTCCCCTGCCATTCTCCTACATATTTCCATCTCTGCATAGCTGACACATGATGTAAAGAGACTTCCACCCAACCAGAACCTTGCTGTCCAGAATTTCCGAATCCTTATCTTCTAATGTGGGAGTAAAGGCTTGTGTGAAGGAGGACTGAAGAAAAGACTTGCATAGAACAAATGAGGTGTTATATACTTTACTAAGACCACCAATAGAAGTTCAGCTACAACCCAAAGACAGAAAGGTCCAGTCTTCCCATCACCATGGTTGATAACTTTTTTCTTAGCTGGCATGCCTCAAAGGTCAGCTATGTGGTATAAGAGGAAGAGAGGATTTTTCCTTTTTAATGATCTTCCTTGGGAAGTTTTTGTGGCCTTTATTTAGTTTCTGATTACATACTTGGGTGCCTGTATCAAAGGATAATGAGGAGAGCATTTTTAACTTCTTTAAGAAAGCAAATACATATTTATATACACACACACATATGCATATGTGATAGTATAATAGTGATGCCTTATGGAGGATGAAGAGGTGGAAAGCTACCCTGCAGTTTCCAGGTTTCTGATGTACAGGGTGATCCGAACTGAAGACTTTGATATACAGTGAGAGTGAGAGAGTGAGCCTTAGAAGAGGATGCCCAATCTGAGTCATTAAAAAATAAAGAAAGAAAAGTCAACTGAAGCAAATAAATAAGAATCTTAGAACAGTGTTTCTTTTCATAGTAACTGGTGAAGTTGAGGTAAAATTCCATAATCCAGCTTTGTATGAACCAAATTGTTCAAAAAACTTGGAGATGTAAAGATAAATCTTACCCATTTCTGGGCTATCCTAGTGATTTTTTTCATACCCCACAGCCTGTTTAGGGGTCAGTTGGAATGATTGTGGTCAGAGCTATGGTGATGGGCCAAACCAACCCAGTGGGAAAACTCTGAAAGGCAAAAAAGACAGTGCCTCCAAGGTGGTCACTAAACCCTTTCAGGCCATCTGCCAGTCTTTTCAGTTCCTAGTGACAGACAAAATCTGAGAGAAGGAACTGCTTGCTAGCAGGGGAGGCATCAAATCAGCTCTGCTTCTGATACGGTTACTTTGAAAGGGTTTGAATTACTGGCTTTTTGATAAGCTCTAAATACTAGTTATGGGCTTCTAATGAATAAACCATTTTGCAAGGAAGGAGAAGAAAAGAGTTCTTGTTTGTTTTAGGGGGTAGGGAAGCTTGGTGGATATTTCATGGGGAACCCTTTGGAGAAGAATATGGATACATGGGTACTAAAGAACCTGTGAATATTAATGAGGTGGGGACTATTCTATTCATGCGGTATTGAAGGTTGGTTTTAAATCAGTAAGGAAAGTTTGAACCAAGGCTAGTCTGGCTTTAAGAAAATCATTTCCATCTTCCAAATATACTGGCCAGAGTATAGGCTTTATGTAATCTTGACAGCAAGAGTATGAGGACTTGCCCTCAGGCAACCACTTGTGTTCAATTTTTAGCAAGGATTATCTAGTAGGAATTGTACAAATGTTGATTGGACATCAGTTTACTTCTACAAAGAAGTAAAATATGTAGCCTCCATCCTAATGGGTTTGTTTGGTTCCAGGTAGGAAGAGAATATCTGTACATAAAAATGGAATTGGGTGCACAGGTAGGACAACAATGTAAACTGGTGCCAAATTTACATTGCAGACAACAAAAGGGAACAATTGCTGGAAATTGAGACACTTGAGAAAGTTTCATGGAAGAAAGGGGCAAGTTAAGGAACCTTGAGGAGCTCATAGTCTTATGAGAATTCATAAATAGGTGAGAAGTTAAAAGTATAACATAAGGTTAAGTGACCATTGAGAACAATTCTAAAAGAAATGCAGCAGCAAAGATGTGCAGACAATCATCACTTTATTAGGAGTTTGTGAAAAGAAGGCTGCCATATAATGGCATCAGGCCCGAGTGGAAAGGAAAGGCTTTTAAGAATGAAAAAGTCCAGTAAGACCTTGCCTCTGGGTTAACTATTGTGAGAGGGAGCAACTTGCTTTAAACAATCCTGATAATGCCAGATGCCTTTAGACCTGAACTCTTCAGGACCTGTGAAACTCACTTAGACAGCTGCTCTCTTAGGGTCCACACAAAAGTGCTGACAGCTTTCCAATTTTCACCTGAACTAGACCATCTGTGGAGGCACAGCCTCTGGTCCCTCTAGAGGCTTGTGCAGCAGCTTCTGTTGTGGACCTGTTTACCTCCCAGGATTCTTCTCAGGGTTTGGATATTAATTCCCAAGAGGATCTTGAGATGTACACAATGAAGCAAATGGCAAGCAGAAAAGAAAGCCATTTAGTTCTTTGTATTTGTTGGTATATGTAAATAAAAACACCTATCCTGTACCATTATTGGTAGAAATTTTGCTTAGGTTGGTAATGATTCTGATGCACTTTAATAATTTAGTTCTTTTTTCCTGAGTGAAATAGCATTTAAAGATCAATATGGTAAAGTTTGGGGCAGGTATGCTATTCAATTATATTCCTATTTCTGATCCTCTAGAAAACTTACTTTAGATGAGGTGTTGGAGTCTATTGTTAGTCACCACAAAAATTCATGCTCCTTATAGATTGAATCTAATATTGCTATCACTTTGTAGATTTTATCTGATGTTACTACCAACCAAAATTAGTATATTCAAAGTTTTAAAAATTGAATTTGTCATCCTATTATTTGTATAATTCTAGCAATATATTGTTTGCTTCAGTCTCTATTTTATTTCCCTGCTAAGTTTTAATCTGTGCTATTGATTATTTAACTTAGTTGATCACAGCATCTACCCATGTATAATGGAAAAAGGAAATTAATATCTGTTACTGCATTCTGTGGCAGGGACTGTATTAAACTCTGATTGGCATGCTATTTGTTAATACCTCACAATTCTGAGATCTAATATAAAGAAAAGAGAATAAAATACTTTCCTAAGATTACCGGGGTGGTAATAATAGATTTGGGATTTAAACTCATGAGCAGTGGTATCACCATCAATGATATTCCTCTCTGGTAGCACTCAAAGTGAGGTCTCTGGACAAAAGCATCAGCATTACTTGGTAACTTATTAGAATAGCACATTCTTGGGCTTCACCCCAGACTTGCTGAGTCAGAAACTAAATGGGGCACCCAGCAACCTGAGTTTCACTAATCCCTGCACGTGACTGATTGACCTCAAAGTTTGAGAATCATTGCTCCATGCCAGTAGTTGTCACTATATTCCTTTTCAGGTTAGAAGTACCCTGAGGAGCTTATAAAAATTCTGATGTCCAGATTAAATAGAATCTCTGCAAGTGGGACTCAGGCAGCAGTAAAATAAAACTCATCAGGTGATTTCTAATGTGTAGTGTCAGTAAGAAACATTCTATGGCATTTGAACTTGGACGCTATTTAAATTGCTAAATTACACACAGGCATTGCTCCAGCCGAAAATGAGAATTTCACTTGGGCCTTAATAGAACCTGGTTCTCTGTGAGCTTCTGTCCCAAGTATAGATACGGAGTAACAAGAAGCATTCTTTAGCTTCTGACTTGCTAAGGATGGAACAAACTCCAGCAAATGTATTAGTGTTTCAGTTTGTGCATCTGTTAAATCAGAACCAAATCACAGAACATTGGAGCTTAAGGGGAGCCAGGAAGATTCTAGAATGAATCTGTTTTAGAGATGGGAAAAACAAGTCTTGGAGTGGTAAGCTGACTTAACCCAGATCAAAGACTTAGTCTGCAGAGGTGCTCTGTCTGCCTCATATGTATGTCTTGAGTGTAGCCACTATGTAAACATACACAAAACTGTCCTTTTTATCTCAGTACACTTCCATTTTCTCTCTTTGGGACCGGAAGAACTGATGGGCAGCCGAAGGGTATTGCAAGTATCATGCAAAATTGGGAGATGGTACAGAATATTCTGAGAAAGACCTAATATCAAATTAATAGATGAACTCTTCGGAGACTACTTCCAATAGTTCTAAACTGGAGAATGTTTTTGACATTGGACATTGTTTTTATTGTGTAAATATACAATTAAAAAATATATTTAAAGAAATGAAATACCATAAGGAACATCAGGCTGTCAAGTATGTGGGGGAGTGGTGCTCATGTAATCTCATATGGAGCCTATAAAGATTTTATTCTAGTCAATTTTAGTCAAAAATTTATCTTGGATGGATGAGGGTTTTCTCCTTCATTCAACATGAGTGCCTGCTAGGTGCTGAACATATAAAGCTAAACAAGATAAAGTCACTCTTAAGCTGAAATAGCTCATCATCTGAAAGTGGAGGAGTATTTGTTTTTGATCTTACTATTTTTCTAACATCTCCTGAAGTAGAAGATTGAGTTATGAAGCTCTCTACCTCTCACCCATAATAGGTTTATAGTTGGTTACTATCCTGGGGTAAGCCCCTTTTGCTGTTTCTCTTCTCCAGATCGTTCTGAGACCAGCATTCACATCCAAAAGGGCAATTGTAATCTAAAGGAAGATGGTATTCTAGGGAAATATGTTTTGATTGGAACCAGATTCCTAACTGCCATAGACTCTTGTCTGATGCTGATATTTATATGTAGACTATCAAGCACTTGATATGCTTTCCTGATGCACTTGATGATACTGTAATAACCTATATTGTAAGTGTTACTGTGTCTAAGGAATCCAGTTGTAGCAAACACTAGGCCATGTTGCTGAACATTTTCCTTTCTGTTCTTATTCTCTTTTGCAGAGGTAAAAGGCTGGAGGAGAGGGCTGAAGTATGTTTTCAAATGCAAGTCAGTCATTAACAAACAGTGATTTATAAAAGAACTTTGTATTTATTGTAATCATTAAATGTATTGACCAATCACAGGAAAATGGGATGATCCTTCTTAGTTGCAGATTGGTGAATGGAATTGCAGAATTGAGTCCCAATTTAATTGATTTGAATTTGAGTTCTTACTGGGTATATGTGCATTTTGCCATCAGGCTGTGTTAGTTCTTATAAGTTATTTTCCTTATGAATCTTATTTTGCTTCCTTTCTACTTTCATCCTAATGTCACAATGCTTGCCAGGATCTAAACAGCAGATTATCAGATCAAATGGATGCCCTATAGATGGAAGACACATAGACATAAAACTATCTTCTAGGGAATATCACTACTGATTAAAAATGTTAATGCGGTTATCAAAATAGATAATAATCTCTCCTAAACTTTGCTACAGATACAGCAAGTGAGATAACGGTGTATCTAACTGCCTAGCTCAGTTTTGGCATTCAATAAAAACTTGTTGCATTTGTCACTGAATCTTTAAAATCTTTTTTTTTTCCATCTTATTTTGGAGATTGTTGAATAAGTATCTCCTTATTTTTCTGCCAACTTCTTAGAGTGGTACCTCTGATAGAACAATGAAAAGAAGAAAAATTAATCTTAATATAGGGCTTAGCTTTGACATGGAAGATAAGGAAATAAGGATAAGGGCACCATCACTGCTGCTAATATCACTGGCTAACAGTTGAGCTTTTATCAATATTTCTGCTACAGTTGTGAGCATGTGTTCATTTAGGCCTCATCACAACTTTGTAACTGCTCTTGTTATCCCCATTTTACAGATAAGTGAGGCATAGAAAGATTTAAATAATTTGCCTAAGTCACACAGCTATTAGGTGTAAGAGTTGGAATATAAACCCAGGCAGTCTAGCTTCAGAATTTGCATACTGAATTTTGCATAACTATGTATACAAAATTTGCATAACTATGCATACAGAATTTGCATAACTATGACACTATACTGTCTCTTCTCCATGGTGGGAGACATTACATTGGGCTGTCCTTTTGCATAATTAATGTCAACAAATACTCACAACAATGCAAGGCAGTTTTAACAATTCTGTTTTTATAGATAAGCTTAAAGAAGTTGGTAAGTTACTCAAGATACACAGCTAATTAGTGCCAGACCTGAGGATTTACTTCAGGCCAATGAGATGTCCACTTCCCTTTCCCATCATTCCAGAAAATATGTATGCTCAATTTGGTTCAACCACACTATCCCAGTCTTCCATTATAGGTAATAAGGAATTGACTATGTTTAATGTTCTACAACAATAAAAGTAGCAGTACCATTTATATGAGCTTTGGAAGCAATTGCCAACATTTACTCTCACATGTATCACACCCCGACTCCAACCCCCAAAAGCCTTACAGGATACATAGAAGGCAGAAAAGGGTTTGTACCACAGGATGAAAAAGGCTTGTCAGAACTGAATGTTGACCTTTTGCCTAAGTGGCTGCATGTAGCTGATTTTGATATAAAAGATAAAAAGCAATTACATTGGTCATTATTGTTCTATCACATGGCTTAAGCGAAGTTCAGACCTGGAGTCAAAGTGCTTGTCTATAACTATAGGTGTGTACAGAATGACCATTTTCTCCTTTAATGGGCAAAGGAGTTGTGTTACCAGTCACATAAAAAAAAAACTACAAAAATCGAAGTGGCTTAGAATAACAATTTTTCAGTAATTTTTTGAAAGGTTCTTTGGTTTGTGTGTTTTTTCTGCTGACATCATATGGGGTCACATGCAAGTGCATTTATCTGATGGCAGAACAGGAGTATGTAGTCCAAGATGGCCTCTTCCTCCCTGTACGGCAGTTAGTGCTGGCTATCAGCTAGGGTGCGTAGCTTTGTCTCCACATAGCTTCTCATCTTCCAGTGGACTAGGTTGGGCTCTTCAAGGCATGGCAGGCGAAGGGTCTAAAGGAAGTGTTCCCAAGAATGTGAGCTTCAGTGGGGAAAGCACTAATCAAGCCTTTGCATTTGTCACATTTGCTGATACGTTATCGCCTAGACCTAGCCATGGCCAAGCACAGAGTTATTGTGGAAGGGGACCTAAACTTCACCCCTTGTTGGGAGTAATGAAGGCAATTTGTGGTCATTTTTAATACACCACCAGAAGAAATAAACTTTCAAACAGCAAAGACCAGAGGTCAGCAAACTTTTTCTTAAAGGACCAGATAGTAAATATTTTAGACTTGCAAGCTTTGGCAAGTTTTAGTGTAAAAGCAGCCATAGACAGTATATAAACAGAAGAATGTAGCTGTGTTCCAGTAAAACTTGATTTACGAAGACAGGAGATCCTGCCAGATGATAGTATAAGGGCCTTTGGCGAAGTCTAGACTCTGACATGGTGAGACAGACTCCCAGCAGTGAAAATGAGAGGAGAAATCCCCCGAATGCTGACCCCTTTGAGCCCCAGGTTGAAGAGCACTGACACATTCCTAGGAAGGGCTTTTTAAAAAATCTCTAATCCTTCAAGAAAGAGAAGCCAGGGCAGGTCCAACAAAAATTTCCGTGGGTATAATTTTGGAAATGAGTTGGGAGGATAACCATTGTCAGACTTAACTGAGTACCTTTCATTGCCAGGCCACCAAATTCAAGGATTCACATAAAAATACTAGCAATATTAAGTACTCACTTTATAGAAGTTATTTAATGCTTAAATAATCCTATTAGATATAGGTTTATTCCCCCATTTTAGACATAGAAAAACAGAACTTTAGAGTTTTGAAGTTACTGTCCCTAGTTAATATTACTAGGTTTGAATGATCAAGATTTGAAGCCAGAACCGGAGCTTTTTCTGTGCTCCTTAAAATCCACCACACTGCCCTTGCTTTTTGAGTTTAAGAGGAAAACAATGTATGTAAAAGGATAACTTATTCATGGGAAACTTATTGCTAATAGTCACAAAAAAATAGTGTCTCTTCAGGTGCAGATAGGAGATAGAGAAAAAAAGGATTGGCAGTTTTCTCCCACCTGTTTTAAATACTGTATATTAATAGAATACTTAAGATCTAATAAGGCCAAAAGATCAGGAGACACTGACACAAATGATGGTTTGTTACAGCTGCCAAGAGAAGGGGGCACAGCCCGCCATGGGACCACAGAGGGAAGCCCTGGCATTGGTCACCAGGGAGAGCGAGAGCCTTTATTGCAGTTTCTGTGGGAAGAAGCAGGCAAAGCCCCGTAAGCAGGATTAGGATTGGCTAATTTGAATAATGTCAGTGGTCTCTGTGGCACAGGGGCTGCCCCTCATCTGGTACCTGGCCATGGATGATGGCATCTGGACAATGACCCTGAGTGTGAGCGCTCAATAGAAGAGGCAGTTGGAACATGGATTCTAGATTAATTGGTTTGTATTTGAAAAGCACACTCATGACAGAGTTGTTTACTATCTCTAAAAACTGGCTAACCCTGGGAGGAGCAGTTCCTGCAGGGCCAGCAAGGCTTTAGATGTCAAAATACCAGAATGTAGGCAATAAAAAAATAGTGAATATGCTACCATGACTACTACAGTGGGTTCTCTGTCCCTCTAAGTTCTTCCTTTATTCCAAAGCCTACAGAAATTTACTGAAATATCCAAAGATAATAAGAACTATCTAGAAAACAGCCAGGAACAAGGAACAAAACAAAAAATAAACCACAAGCAACCAAAGCAGGTATCACTAAATCCATGCACAAAAGTCCTTAATTTTATTTTATACACCTTTATAACAAGATTGGTTGACCAGTTTCCTAGCCCATAATAACTACTAGTTAAAATAATGGCTAGCTCCATGACATGCCAAGGTCCAGTAATATGTACCTGCCAGGGCCCCAAGCGGGTAACTAGGAGGGGTTCCTTCATACCATGACTTTCATCCATCCTCAACTGCAGTGTAATTATATTTCATACTTTGCACATGGGTCAATGGTTCATTAGGAACCACTCCAGAAAAGAAGTTTTAAGCCAGTGTTTCTGGACAGCGACTATTAACTAAATCAGAGGCTACTGATCTGTTTCTGGCCATGTCAAATGACCCTGGGTACCCAATAGACCTTGAGCTTCTTAACTTCAATGACATGCTGCTTTAAGCATTTTATTCTGCCTCCTACTGATTATTCCCAACCTTTCACAGTGTTCCTTGAATCTCAGTCCAAACCTCCATCCAACTGCCTTCTTCACTATCCACTAGGTTCCCCTCCAGTTTGTCTTCCACAGACTAGAGATCCTGGTTGTGGATAAAATGAGAGTTCCTGTGGCCAGGATTCTCATCTGGCCATGGTTGACTAGCTCACTGCACATCTGTTGGCAATACATGGCTGTTGACTCTATAAAAAGAGCTCCACCCAGTGCTCTGGGTGCAACACGGTGGCAGGGCTGCAAGGCTGCAGGAGAGCAGAGCAGAGGCTGGAGTGGTGGCAGCGCCAAGGACAGAGGCCCAGAGGACGGCTGTGCAGGACAACTGTGCAGAGAGGCCCAGAGGATGGCTGTGTGAGATGACTGTGCAGGATGGCTGTGCAGAGAAGCCCAGAGGACAACTGTGAGGACAGAGGGGCCCAGAGGTAGAGACTGGCTTGCTGCATGCAGACTCACTCTGACTGAATGGGATTCTAATGACTGACCTGCCACCTGGAAATAAAGTTGGGTATAACCCTTTCACCCCAAGAATGTTCTGCTGTCATTTTCTTTGGTCACACTGAATCCATAGCAAACTTGCCTGGGGCTGAAACCCATTGGCAAGACACTGGTAAAACATAGATTTGATCATGTCTCTCCTCTTTTTAAAAATCCCCTAGAAGTTTCCCACTGCGTTTAGAATTCAGTCTAAAATACTTAGCAAAACCCATAAGGCACTGCATGATCTGTATCCTGCCTTCTCCAAACTCATTTCACTCTGTGCTCCACTCTTCCTCACCGATCCTTCTCCTTCCTAGCTTTTCCGTTACTCAGAAATGCCAGACTTCACCTCAGGGTCTTCCTATAAACTTTAAAGTTGTGTTTTTTCCACTGATTTTTCTAGCTAAATTCTCATCTTAGGGATATTTCCTGAGAAGCCTTCTTTATTTCCACGCTTCTTTAGCCTTGAGGACACTTTAGACTTGGCTGCCTAGACACATTCTACACACCCCCTCCTGGTCACAGCACATTTCAGGTACCTTCTTTCCATAGTCCCACCTGCCTTTCTGTGGAAACCTCCACAAATTAACCCTTTAATATCTAGCTTCTCCATCCATCAGTCCATTCTGATACAAACGATTTCCTTATTTACATTTGTCTTTAAATTTGCTTTTTTTCCCCTCAGTATTGCTGTAGTTTCCAATCCTTCCCCTTGGGTTTCTAAATCTTCCCTGTGCACTAACTCTGGGGCTACACAGAAAGTGATAATTTTTGTTTGAGGGACACCCAACATATATAGAGTGAAGACCTTTGTACCCAGAGAGGACATAAAAGGCAGCCTGTAAGAGCTCAAATGCTTCCAGAAACCTTCAAACAACTGGCAGAGGAAGTTGATATCAACTCTGATCATACAGACAGCCAGAGGAAAAAGGGCCTTGAACTCATAAACTATAAACCCCCTTAAGGTAACAGTGAAAGTACCTATATAATAGTTCCCAAGAAGATCTTAATAGAGAAGGAATAAAATTTTGCACAGGGGTGGTGGTACAGGAAACATGTTTATTTTAATCTAGCTTTGGGTGGGGAGAGGGTTCTGGTATACAAGTAAAAAGAAATTTAACAGCATCACTGCAGGGGGCATTTAATGTTTGTCTTTGCGACAACAAAGTGAATGACCAATTGCTGAGACAGAGAAAGTATAAAAAGCTTTTCTTCAGCTCAGCAGTATTTTATGGATAAGGAAATTTATTTTAGACTTTAAGTAAGTAAATATGGTTTTTCTGTGGCTGTGCTAAGTAGAGATTAATCCTCTTAGATAATGAATACGAGATCAAAGTTATCTTTCCAAGGGAACTTGTGCTTTGATACATGTGGCCAAAATAGAATATATTTTATTCCCACTGTTGATAAACCTTGCCCAGTCTATTCACTCTGTAGTTTGCTAAAAAGACCAGTTTTTCACTGGACTTTCGAAAGATAGTTGTAGTATGGCTCAATTAATGATGACTGTTTCCTCCTATGTCATAGCCAAGGGCCTACTCCTTCTTAATGGTAAATTTCCAATTTCCTTAGTAATTGGTATGTTTGACTTTTAAATGATCGTTTATTTTCTTATCACAAAACCACCAATTTTTCTAACTGTTCAATATATTGTAATAGAACTTAGAATTCTCATGTAATCATTTTTTAAACTTTTGTATGTGTTTTTGTCTGATTCCTAACAGATTTAAATATTTTTTCCTTAATCAATTAATTGACTTTTTGTAATAATAAGCTTTTGGTTTAATATTCAGTTTTTCTGGTTTCATTTGTTTTCCATTTATTTTATTTTAGCTAATTCTTCCTTTACACTTTCTTTTGGTTATTTTTTAATTTTGAGAGGTTATTTTTCTTTTTTATAAGAAGATTTTTTTTGCCATTTGGAGTCATAGTATTTCACATGAAATTTTTTCCTTGTTATTAATTTCCATATAACTTATAATTTCCATCTTGATATCATTCTTGATTTGGGGTTATTCAAAATAGTGTTACTAATAGTGGTATAGATCTTAAAAGTTCTCATCAGAAGGAAAACAATTTTGTAATTATGTGAGGTGGTAGATGTTAAATAAACTTACTATGGTAATCATTTCACAATATTAGACATATGTTAAGTCATGTTGCACACATTAATCTCATATACTCATACATTGTTAATTATATCTCAAAACTGGAAAAAATTAAAAATTTGAAAAAGTGTTACATGATTTGGAAGTGGTTACTTTAGGAAGTAGATTAACTTTTGAGGTATCAAGTTCTAGTTTTATTGGCTGTTCATTGTATTTTGATTTATTACAAACTTTAGTACAATGATATTTGACTTTTTTTTTAAACCAGTGGTAGATAACAGATGTTACTCAAGCACTTAAAACATAGAAGGGACATTTTTTAACGGTCTCCTTTTCAAAAAGTTTATCTTGAAACAAAAGCACACTTGCTCTGGATTGAAACATTTGTCTTTACATTTCTCAATAAAAATTTTTCTACAAAGTTTTTTTAAACATTAATTTCAATAGACAAAGTCTCGTTTCACCAATGACATATATCACAGAAGCACACATCCTCCAACCCAAAAAGGAGTATGGTGTGAATGAGAAAGACTGGCAGAAAAGGCAGGCCAAAGTCATATTACAAAGGACCTTGAATTCCTTGCTAAGAAAAGTGGAGTGATTACTGTAGGCAAAAAGCCAGGAGAATCTCATCATTAGCTACACCTCTTCGATAAGTTTCAGCAGTGTGGAAGATAGATTTGAGAATCACAATTAAGTTTTTTTGTTTGCTTCATATGTTTTTCATACCTGATCCAGTGGGCTTATAGGTATGGGTGGTGGTGTAGAAGCCTAAGGGTAGATCTGGAGTTTCTTCTCCGTAGACCACTTTGGGGCTACTTCAATTATGTAGAAAGATAAGGGATTAAACCAGGAACGATTCAGTGGCAATAGAGAGGCAGGGACGGATGGAAAGAGTTCAGGGAGAGTATGGGAAATGTCACTCTATGTTACCCGCACTCTATATTATGTCCTCTCACCTTGATAGGTGAGGCTTTCTCTTATACACGCTGGGAAAGGGCACACGCGGGAGCTGTTTTCAAAGCTACTGTTGTAGTTTAGGTACACGTTAATTTGTGTGAGCATTAGATTGCCAGCTTTTTTAAGACAGAATAATATTGTTTGATCTCAGTGTTCCCCCTGCAGAAAGGTGTGCTGAACGGAAGTTGAATGAGTGGAAAACAGACATTCGTAAATGACTGCAGATTACAAACTATCTAGCAGTAAGGGCACTAGCATTAAATCAGTGATGGCAAGACACTACACTGATTACCATTTAATCTAACATTTCGCGGCGATTTATTTCTAAAAATCTTTAAACTGGCAAACTCCCCGCCCCATAAATAAAACAGAAGCTACAATACTAACTCCAAAGTAACGTTTTTCCCCTTTAGCTGATTTTGTCAGCGGCTGTGTGACTGGGAGTGTGCTAAGACGCTGGTTAAGACCCAGAAAGTGGGAGGTACCGGTGTCCATATTTGACGATGCGTACAACGTAAATTCCGATTACAAACCGGCGACCCGGAACCCGATCCGCTTAACTCGAATTTCCGGGCGGACGCAAGTCTACGTTGCGATGGATCGATTGCTTTTGCCTGGTGGAGACTTAGGAGAGTACCATGCACCTGACGGGGGAGGAAGGGAGGTGAGTCAAGGACAGTCTTGTCGGGAGGGAACTTGAGCCGCTGAAGTCAGAAGGCTGCGCTGGGCCTGTTGGCGGGGCGTCCAGGCGAGCGGGAGAGTTCAGTCGTATTTGCACCGGCCATGATCCGCGCTTTGCGCAGGAACAAGACCCTCCGCTACGGAGTCCCCATGTTGGTGAGCGCAGGGAGGAAAATGTATGGGGGCGGGATTCCGGAAGGGGTGGGATCTCACGTTTGGCGGGTTGGAGGAGACTGAGGGGAGTCCGCCGCAATAGGTGAGGCTGAGAAGTGCAGCCGGGATGGGAAGGGGCTGGCTTTAGATAGAGAAATTGCAGTCAGTCGTCCTAGTCTTCTCCCCGCGTTGGTAGTACGATAGCATTAAAAGTCCCTCTCTTACCTTCCCTGGTGGCTACCAAGGTGTGCTTCAGAGAGCGATGTCAGAACCAGAATTTAACCCTAGTCTGGATGATTGTTAAGCTTGTATTTTCTCATCCCGCTATAGCTTGAAGATACTCTGGATCACGGAGACTAGATGTATTTACCTCATTTATCTGTACGTTCGGGCATCTCCATGTTTCAGCTTCCTAGTCTAGCTGGCATACTTCAGGGTTGTTAGGAGTTAAAGCCTTATGACGTGCGTATTTAGCACGGTGCCTGCCACGTTGTAGCAGCCCTCAAGGTGTTGCTGAATCGTAGTTGATATATTTAAAGCACATTGAAAGTAGTTTCTCTGTTCTTAATGTTTGCGTTCAGTTTTACACTAAGTTCCCTGAAGATCCCTTTCAACATGAAGATACAGGTGGAAGTTGACGTAACACCAACTAGAGTTGGAATCCAGCCACACAGCTCCCCTTTATTTGCTGTTTAATCTTGGCAAGTTATTTTGTTTCAGCAAGTATTGATGTCATAGTGAATGAAAAAATTTAAATAAAGCATGTGGACAAAGCCACTTTCTTTTAAATACAGAATAGCTTATTATTGGTATGGATATTGGTACTGGTGAGGTTACCAGCTTTTGCATTTATTCAGGATTAAAGCAAATAAGTGACTAGAAAAACAATGAGTTTTTTTACTTATCTCTGATGAATCTGATTTTTTTTAAAGTCTTTGGAAACTCCTTTTTATGTCTTTTTTAAAATTTAAAGAAAACTTTGTATTTATAAGATAGTATAGTCATTTATGTAGGGTATGTGTAAAAACTATCCTCTGCACATTCTTCTGCCCCCAAATGCAGGTCCATTCAGCAGCATTGTGATTGTAGTCACTAACTTGAGGTTACCTGTATGTCCCAATGGAAGCCAGTTTGATTTTGTTTTTTTCAAAATCATCAAAGCCAAGTATTGAAGCGCCTTCTAGAGGTTTCCTCATTTTTTTTAGGCAAAGTACCACAATAGCCTTTATTAACCTTAAACATAAAAGTTATTTTGCTAGCAAAAATGGATTTATTCAGAATGGCAGAGAATTGCAATTTGGAACATGAAACCTTTGGAGAAACCATAGGCATTAAAAGAGAGGAACATTATTTTATGGAGAAGAAGGAGGAAGTTGGGAGGGGTTATTTTGAATCAAAGTCCAAGGGGAGAAAAACAGGAGTTCAGGGTGATGTGGGTTTCTCATTGGTTGAGTTGCAAGGATAGTCAGTTTCCTGTAGGAAATGCAGTGTACATCTTTTCCCTTTTGGGGTTTGTAATGGATGATTCTTTCCTGTTGAGGCTTCTTCTGTTGGGGTCTGTAACTGACACGGAGTGGTACTGCTTCACCTCACTCCACTTTAGAGAGGTTTCCTTTTACTAATTTTCACACCTTCTTCACCAAGTGTATTACCTACCCAACATGGACCTAGGGGACCACGTTTCAAAATATGGGTCCTAAACATAAATAATTTTGTAGAGGAAAATGTTTAGTTCAATACTGTAAAACCCAGTGCTCCCGGAAAGAATTCAAAAGGTACACTCTTTTTATCATGTATCAGTCAACGCTACAGAAAGAATTAAAAATATACATTCTTTTTAATCATGTGTCAATCAAATATGTCATAATTACTATATTTATCTTTAAGTTGAAATTTTTTCCTCTCTTGGAAAAATATTAATGCTTCATATGAATCTTTATTCAGCAACATACAGAAGAGGGCTTGGAATATCAGGTATATGCTAATAATACCCTTCTTACCTTCACTTTCAAACAATTTGAGAAAGAGAACTTACTTGTTGCTTCAGCTTCCACATTGTCCATTTAGTCCCTAGAATTTACCTTTCTGATCTGACCAGTGACTTAATTGTTCCTATACACCAAAATTAGCCCAATTAAAGCGTTCTCTTCCCTTGTTTTTAGTATATTCACAGTTATGAGCTGTTACCACAGTCTCATTTTAGGACATTTTTATCAACCCCAAAGAAACACCATCCCATTTTTAGTCACTTCCTTTTCTTTCCTCCCCCTCCTTCCACCCTCCCTAGGCAATTACTAATCTACTTCTGACTACAGATTTAACAGAATAGTACAACATGTGGTCTTTTGTGACTGATTCCTTTCATTTGGCATAATGTTTTCAAGATTCGTTCAAGTTATGAAGTGTATCAAAACTTCACTTCTTTTTATGGCTAAATAATATTTCATGATTTAGATAGACAACATTTTGTTTATCCATTGATGAACATTGGGGTTGTTTCTGTTTTTTGGCTATCATGTATAATGCTGCTATGAACATTCATGTACAAGTTTTTATGAACATATGTTTTCATTTCTCTTGGGTATATACACAGTAGTAGAATTGTTGGGTCATATGGTAAGTCCTTGCTTAACATTTTGAGAAACTGTCAGCTGTTTCCCAAAATGGCTACATTATTTTACATTCACACAATGTGTGAGGCTTCTGATTTCTCCACATCCTTGCCAACACTTGTTATTGTTCATCTTTCTTATTATTATTATAATACCCTTCTGGTGGGTGTGAAGTGGTATCTCTTTGTGGTTTTGATTTGCATTTCTGTAATGACTGTTGCATGAAACATCCTTTCAGATATTTATTGGTTATCTGTGTATCTTCTTTGGAGAAATGTCTTTCAAATTTTTCGCCCATTTTTTTAATTGGGCAAAGGTTTCCTTAAACACCTGGAACCAGTAATTCTCTTAGCCTTTGTCAAGGGGCTCTGTGTGTTTGGGCATTGAAAGGAAGGAGCGACACACAGCAGCAATTCACCGGAGAATTCTGCTTTATTAGGGAAAGGTGCTGGGTTATATAGGAAGGGATATGGGGTGATTGTGGTGTTACTTCTACGGGGCTGGTGGCTGTTGGCTAGGTGCTGGGATTGGGAGGGAGGAGAGAGGTGATTGGGCTTCAGGTGGTGCCGGCGGGAACTGAGGACCCGGAAGAGAAGCCCGAGGTTCGCCATCTTACGGGTGGGGGCCCTTCAGGCATATCTTCAATACTCACCCAGGCAGGTTACAGCTCAGCCTTAAGCTTTTACTTTTGTTTTCTCAAAGCCTCAAGGTTAGCCATAGGTGAGTGTTTAGGGCCTTCTCAGGTCTTTCATGAGTTTACACACTGCTTTGGGCATAAGCACAGTTCTGTTCATGTGCATGTCCTAGATTCTCGGGAGTATGTTTGAGCTTTTCAAGTCCTCTATGGACACCTTATACCTCATATTTTCCTTTTAGGTGTTTTTGGTTGACAACTGTTTGCTGTACCATTGTCTACATAATTTTTTTTATGATTAATCATGCAATGGTGAACAAAGTTTTGATGATACAGGAAGTGGAAGAATTGATGTATTGGTATCTTTCAGTAAATGAGATGGGATCTGGTGCACAAATGAAGATATTTAGTTAGGGTTGTAGATACTATTGTAATGAGTGGTAGGTGGTACAATGTGGTACTGACACTGACTCAGAATTAGCTCAGACATCACAGATTAAGGGCAGAGTCCTCCAAAAAACACCCCTTTCTTCAGACACCAGCTGAAAGCTCTGGAGTTCTTAGAGGACCTGTGCTTCTGATCAACTGGTTACATACTTGAGGTTTCTATTATCCTCTAAGGTCCAGTAATTCACTAGAATGACTCATAGAACTCAGGAAAGCATTATACTTATGGTTATAGTTTTATTAAAAGTATACAAATTAGGAACAGCCAAAAGAAGAGACCCATGCAGAGTTTCCATGTTTTCTTTCTGTGGAATCAAGGTATGCCACTCTCCCAGCACACTGATGTGGTCACCAACCAGGAAGCTCAACCAGGTTTCAGTGTACAGAGTTTTTTACTGGGGTTTCATTATCTAGGCATGGTTGATTGAATCACTGGTTTCATGACTGAACTCAGTCTCAGCTCTCCATCCTCCCTGAAGGTTGGATTGATATCACATGGCTTAAAGCTCCAGCCCTCTAGTCTCATGGTTATTCCAGCATGGCTAGCCTGTATCCTGCAGCTGGAGGCCCACCGTGAGTCACCTCATTAGCATAAACTCTGGTGTGGTCCCAGAGATCCACACATATGTTAACAAAGATACTCTTGTCACTCAGGAAATTCCAAGTTACTAGCTCCCTCCCAGGAACCTGGGACAAAAAGCAGACAAATTCCTTAGTATGTAACATGTAGGTACTGTGATTTCTGTATGACAGGAAAGAGATGTTGGTGGCCTCAAGTAGAGTGTTAGGAGAGGATTAATCAGAAATTCTCAGATTTAAGAAATATCTTCAAACTAGAGGTGGAAGAACTCCAGTGTATTAGACGCAAGAGATGAATGAAAGGAGATGACTCCAAAGAAGTTGTCTTCAATAATAGGATGGAAGTAGTTGACATTTACTGGGATGTGAAAGACAGTTAAGGGCAGTTTGGGGCATAAAGACTATTGGGTAAAAACTCAAAGAGTTTTTTTTAAATGTAAATTTATATATACCTGTTAGATTTTCAAGTAGACATGTCAAATAGGAAGGCAGGTCTTCAGTTCAGTGGGATGTTTCCCATTGAAAATCTACATTTGGAGGTTGGTAGGTTATAAAGATTATTTAAATCTGTGGAATTGGATGACATCACTTAGGGACAAAGTGTTGGTCATGAATAGGCAGAAGATGTGTGCACACAGCCTTTTGGAATACTCCAGCATTTTAAGGTTAGGAAGGTAAGGAAGAATGAATAAAAGGAAAGAAGAAATTAGGAAAACCAGGGGTGTGTCTTTGATCGAAACTAAGGGACAAAAGTTATTTTGCTTACAGAAAGAACTCTTACAGATTGCCACTGCAGGTATCAGCTACTTATATACAACATATTTTTCCTGATTTGTTGTGTTTTGATTTTGTGTTATTTTTATTTCATTTATTTGTCAAAGTAGATGTTTTAAATTTTTATGTGGTCAGATTTATTGGGTTTTGAAATTCATATCCTCAAGGTTTTGTTGGTATTCTGACTTCAAAATTGCAAAATTTTATGTTTTATAATGCTTTATATCTTTTTATATTTAATTGCAATATTAATATGTTGGTATAAAAAGAAAGGCAGGGATCAATCTTTATTTTTTCCAAATTGCTAGACTTCTGAAGCTTTAGGATGAGGGATGGAAGCCCATTAGATTGTTGATAGAGATGATACAGTAGCAATGACAATTCAAAGGCTTTTTAAAGGTTTACTGCATATTAAGAAGTATGGCATATTTCATGAGATTCTTTTATCACTTGGTAAGAAAATGGAGAAAAATCTCCTCCAATCAGCTTGTTTTGCAAAATCACACAATTGAAGGAATTCTGGTCTTGAAGAAATAAGGCCAGATTTTTATTCCTGGCTTTACCCCATGTAATCATGGGCAAGTCATTTAGTTGGCTGTGGTTTTATTTCCTTGTCTATATGGACTTTTTTCTTACTTTATAGATCTTTTGTAAAGATCAACTATTAAATGCTTGTGGTGATATTTAAACCAAAGGTCAAGTAAGGGTATAGTGTACTGATTTTGGTATTTGGTCATGTGTTAAAATGTTTCCCAGTGACAGTCTATACTACATCTACTCTGCACAGATAAATGGTAACTCAGCAGGAAAAATAATCTCTAGGATTTCGTATCTGTTACTGTTGGCATTTAGATAAGTACACTATAAATCGATTGAATTCTGCCCTTCTCTTTTGTTTGTTTCTTTGTTTCAGTTGCTGATTGTTGGAGGTTCTTTTGGTCTTCGGGAATTTTCCCAAATCCGTTATGATGCTGTGAAGATTAAAGTAAGAATTATAATTGGGGTTTGACATGTGCCCTTGTATATGTGTGTTCTGGTTTAGGAGATATGTGTACTTGGTGTACTAAGCAGTCTGAGTTTTGTCTTGCTTTTCAAGGTTGATATATGATCTTTGGGCTCCTGTTTTTTAAAACAACATTAATGATCACATGGAGGTGAATCATGCAATATAAAGAAGTTAAAAATCTCCTTATTCACTAGAAAATCTGCAATACTGTTAGCTTTCATTGATGTAGTTTTTAGGATTTAGAAGAGACTAAAGAACATGGAACAACAATTTCACTCCATTTTATTGCTTCAGTTATAACGTTAGGTATTTCATATTCATAACAATAATTTTATAAATTATACTGATCTGTATTTTTAGTAACACTTAAAGGAAAATTATTTTTCACCATAAATGATACTTATCCTTTTGAAGGTATACCTTTGTGGTAGGACTCTGCTAGTTTTCAAATATATATATATATATATGATGGTCTTTATTTTACTGGTGAGAAGCTGAGCCTCAGAGAGCTTAAGTTGCTTGCCCAAGTTATATGGCTATTTAGGGGTAAAGCTAGGATTCTCACCCTCTATGACTGACTAGTTACTGTCAGATTCAGACCAAGTGTTACATAAGAGCTCTGATTAATTAATACAGAAGTATGCATTTTTTGTTTGTGGCACACATCTGATATTTGAGTGTTTTTCCAAGTAATATATACATATATTTTTTTCATTAGCAGACCTCAGTAACTAACTCCAGCTAGTCTTTAAGACAATAGTTAATAGGGTGAATAAACATTAAATTTAAAAGTGACGTTAGGTTTTGTGAGGGAATAGAGCAGTTTTCAACTGTGTTTAAAAGTTTCTGTTAGTATCCCAATTACTTTATTTAGGATTTTATCCCTCTTTCTCTTTAAGATGGAAGTTATAATAATATGAGTTTTGGAAGTGGGATGACATGTACAGATAACATGTACCTATTTGAAAAATAGTTGAATATTTGTAATTTGTTTAACATGTGTTAAATCATACTGATATCCAATAAACTGGTTCTTACAAAGCTTATAGCATAATCGAGGCTGGAAGACATCTGACATAAAAATATACCCAAAGATATAACAATGCCCAGTAAAATTCTGTATTAGAATTTTGCATAAAACATTACTAGAACTTCAAGGACAGGCATACAGTTTAGACTTGGGAAAGGGGAATCAGGAAGGTTTGCCAGAAGTATCAACCTTTGAATTAAGGCTTTACGAATGAGTAAGAGTCTGGCATGATAAATTTAATGTACTGCAACAAAAGGACCTCCAACCATGAATCCTCTACCTGGCAAGATTATCATCTAAATTTGAAGCAGGTATTAAACAATTTTCCAGTTAAACAAAAGTTGAAGGAATTCATAACCACTAAGTCAATCTTACACAGTATGTTAAAAGGATTGCTCTAGATGGAAATGACCCTAAAGCTAAATAGCTTTCACCAGTGAAAATAAACCCACCATAAAGGTAGTAGACCAACTAATTACCAAGCAAGTACAAAATTAAAGTGAAAGTAGTAAAACCAACTGTACACAAAAATTAGTCAAGGATACACAAGAAGTGCAGAGTATAACAACTAATACATAAAATGTGGAGGAGGAAGAAGAAGAAAAAAGTACTTTTAGACTGTGTTTGGAATAGAGAAATCATCAACTTAACATAGACTGTTATATAGTCAGGAAGCTATCCTTGAACCTTATGGTAACCACACACCTAAAGCCTATAACAGATACACAAAAAATTTAAAGAGGAATCCAATCACAACACTAAAGGAAACCATCAAATAACAAAAGAGAAGAGTATAAGAGAGGAAGAAAGGAATAGAGAGGAACTATAAAAACAAAAATAATTAATAAAATGGCAAAAAGTATGTACCTATCAATAATTATCTTAAATGGAAATGGACTGAATGCACTAATCAAAAGACGTAGAGAGGCAGAATGGATAAAGAAACAAGATCCATCTATATACTGCCTATAGGAGACTAATTTCTGATGCAAAGAAACAGACTAAAAGTAAAGGGATAGAAAAAGATATTTCATGCAAATAATAGGGAGAAAAAAGGAGTGGTAGTACTTACCCCCAGAAAAAAATAGATTTCAAAATAAAGAAAGTAACAAGAGACAAAGAAGGACATTACATAATAATAATGGGGTCAGTACAACAGGAGGATATAACCATTATAAATGTCTATGCAACCAACATAGGAGCACCTAAATAAATATGTGAAACAAATACTAACAGAATTAAAGGGGGAAATAGATAGCACACCTTCATTTTAGGAGACTTTAACACACCATTCACATCAGTAGATCAACCTGACAAAAAATAAATAAGGATACAGAGGCACTGAACAATACATTAGATCAGACAGACTTAACAGACATCTACATAACACTCCACCCAAAAGCAGCAGGATACATATTCTTCTCAAGTGTATATGGAATGTTCTTAAGACTAGATCACCTACTAGGCCACAAAAAGAGCCTCAGTAAATTAAAAAAGATTGAAATTGTACCAACCAGCATCTCAGATAACAAAGGTATGAAACTAGAAACAAATTATACAAAGAAAACAAAAAAGCTTACAAATCAATGGAGGCTAAACAACATGCTTCTAAATAATCAATGGATCAATGATCAAATTAAAACAGAAATCAGGCAATACATGGAGACAAACAAAAACAAAAATTAAACAACCCATAATCTGTGGGAAGCTGTGAAGGCAGTTCTAAGACAGAAGTACATAGCAATACAGGCCTACCTCAGGAAACAAAACAATCCCAAATAGTCTAAACTCAGAATTAAAGAAACTAGAAATAGAAGAACAAATAAATCAAAAATTAACATAAGGAGGGACATAATAAAGATAAGAGCATAAAAAAATCAATGAAACTAGGAGGTGGTTCTTTGAGAAAATAAGCAAAATAGATAAACTCATAGCCAGACTTACCAAGAAAGAGAATTCACACATAAACAAAATCAGAAATGAAGAAGGAATAATCACAATAGATACCACAGAAAT